GGAAGAAATAGAGAGAGAGAGGGGGGTGGAGAAACAAAGAAAGAAAGAGCGAGAGAGAGAGAGAGAGAAAGGAAGAAAGAGAGAGAGTAAGAGAGAGAGAGGGAAAGAAAGGAAGAAAGAAGGGGCGAGAGAGTGAGAAAGGAAGAAAGAGAGAGAGGGAGAGAGAGAAAGTAAGAAAGAATGAGAAAGAGAGAGAGAAAAAAATATATAGAAAGAGAGAAAGTAAGAAAGAAAAGAGAGAAAGGAAGGGAGAGAGAAAGAGAGAGAGAGAGAGAAAGTAAGACAGAAAGAGAGAGAGAGAGAAAGTAGGAAAGAAAGAGAGAGAGAAAGGAAGGGAGAGAGAGAGAGAGTGAAAGGAAGAGAGAGAGAGAGAGAATGGACGAAGAATTAACCTCAGATAACTTCTCCTTTTCGCTCTCTGTGTCTCCCTGTTTCTTTTCCTTCCTCTTTTCTCGATTCCTTTCTTTAATTCTTTCTTTCTGTTGATGTTATTTTCTTTTCTCTTTCCTATTGTTTGTTTTCCTTGTACTTCCATTTTTGTCATTCCCTTCTTTCCTTTCTCCGCTTTTCCTTCTCTCCCGTCTTTTATTCTTCTCTCATTTTCTCTCTACTTCTCTCTCTTTTTCCCTTCTTATTATCCCCCCTCCTTATATTCGCCTTCTCTCCCTCTGTCCCTCCTTCACGCTTTCTTTCCCTCTTCATTATCTTTTATCGCTACTTCTTCCCTTCCTCCTCCCTTTTCACTTTTTCCCCTTTTCCTCCCCTTCTTTTCTCCTCCCTTCCTTCAATCCCAGCTCCTTCCTTCCTTCCTTCCTTCCTCCTTTCCCTCCTTCCTGCTTTCTCTTCGCTCCACCCCTTCCCTTCTCAGCATTGCGCGCGCGCGCGAGAGAGAGAGAGAGAGAGAGATAAAAAAAGAAAGAGAAAAAGTGAGATAGAAAGAGAGAGAGAGAGAGTGTGTGTGTGTGTGTGTGTGAGAGAGAGAGAGAGAGAGAGAGAGAGAGAGAGAGAGAGAGAGAGAAGATAAAGAGAATGAAATAGAGAGAAAGAAAAAAAGTGAGAAACAGAACGATAGAAAAGAGAGAGAGAGAGAGAAAGAGAGAGAGAGAGGAGAGAGAAGAGAGAGAGACACACACACTGAGAGTGCCATTTGCGATCCCTGGCTGCTGCTCCTCTCTGTGGCACTGACTGGGCTGAGAGAGAGAGGGTGCCCCCAGCCAGTGCCAGTATGCTGAGGGCTGTGGGTGTGTGAATAGGGCAGATTTTCCCTCTCTCGCTTTCCCCTCTAGCGTAGTGCCAGATGCCCTCTTTCCGTTTCTCTACGCTGGCACTTTGGCACCGGAGTGAGATGTGAATCCATCAAGTGTTGGGTGATTGTTTTTTTTTTTTTTTTTACTTTTTTCCTTTTATTTTCGTTTCGGATTGGGTTTTTTTTCTTCTTCCATATTATTCGATGTGAACTTTATCGATTTTTTTTATATATATAAACAAAAAGGTGGTGAGATTAAGGAAAGATTTATAATTTTTTTCGAAAAATTAGAGAATTTACCTGCATATCATTTCGTATCATTATATCGTTTATTTTGATACTAATAAAAGAAGAGTGGACGAGGTTACGTAAGGGAGCTGAAAATGGTTTTGATTTTGATCCTTATAGCCACCTGTGATAAGGGAGGCTTTTGCTTGTGATTCGGTTGAAATTTCTCAATGGGAAAATTCTTCAGAAGATATTGAGTGAAAGAAGTGAATAAAGGACAACGGAGAATCAAAACAAAATTAAGAAAGGAAGAGAAACATCATAAAAGGAAGAAATAGATGTAAGGAATAAGAAGAGGAAAGATATATATGTGTGAAATAGATAAAGATATAGAAATGTGAATTGTTAAAACCGAAATAGAGTAATTTTTTTTATTATGGGTTTGATTACCAGATGAAGTATTAGATAAAAGGATGTAAAGAAACGAATAGTGCAAAGAAGAAATAAAAAACGTTTATATATGGAACTATATTTGTGTGAAAATATCAGGTGATAATTGAAGATTAAGAAAGGGAGATTTTTGTGAAGAAAAGTTGAAATTTGAAGCTTTGAAAGTGGCTGCTTTGTGGGAAAAAAAGAGAAAAAGTGACGTTTTTATACAGAAATAATAATAATAATAATAGTAAATAAGAAATAGGATGCTCCCAAACCACCTGAAAATAATACGTGAGAGAAAATCAAGTCATATACGAAGCTAAAAAAAAAAATACATACCAGTTACCCCTCTCGACCCTCTCCCCCTTTCTCTCGCTGAAATAAAAAAAGAGAGAGAAAAAAAAATCAAATCAAAGATCGAAGGAAGAATAAAAGAGAGAGGGAGAGAGAGAGAGAGCGAAAGAAAAAGTGGATAGTGAAAGAGTTGGTGAAGTTGTACTAGTGTTTATTTTGGTGGAGTGAAGGTTGGGACCGCGGGCCAAAAATACTCTCAAGAAAGACCAGGACCTGCAGACGACAACCCACTGCAAG